GTGTTAACTGGATAGGGTTAACGCAACGTATCCAATGTATCCAAGCGTGGCGCATCCGCCGCTCCTCTTGAAGACGACACGGCAGACCAGCGACGAAAACCCGCAAAGCAAACCACCCGACGCCCAGTCGCTACGTGCTCCGGACGTTGCCGGAGGCAGGTCAGCTGAGGCTATAATGCAACGTCTCCAATGTATCCAATGATTGCAAAATTGCTACATATTGTATTGTGTTACATCATTATGTACCCCCCCAAACCCCCCCCAGGGGCCACACCACTTCCGCCGACCCAAAGTGGCCCCTCCCTCCTGCGCCTCAAAAGCCTACCAAAACCTATAGAAAATCAATGACGGGCCTGTTGGCCCTCTTGGGGCCCAACAGGGCCTCAAGACGGCTCGAGATGGCCCCCAGGCGGTCCAAGATGGCCCCAATACGGCCCAAGATGGCCCCAAGAGGCCCTACGAAGACCCCAGGACGCCCCAAAACGGCCCCCAGAGGACCCCCAAAGACACCTCCAGAAACCAAAAACCATTGATTCTCCAATGGTTTTTTCCCCACATCCAAAGTGGGTTTCTTGTTTTCTCTGGACACCCCGCGCAGGAACAGGAACCCACCATCATCATCACTCATTCCTCACTCATTCACTCACTCACTCACTCATCATCCCTCACACACTCACTCTCTCACTCACTCACTCACTCACTCACTCACTGACTCATCCACACTCACATACGATGATGATGAGTGTGCGCGTGAGAGAGTGTGATGATCATCGTCGTCACCAGTCAGTCAGTCAGTCACTCAGTCAGTCAGTCACTCACTCACTCACTCGCCTTGGGCCTCGTCTGTGAGTGAATTGCGAGGAAGTCTCGAGCGGGAACCCCCTCCCTATGGGGCCCGCGGATCACGTTACTCATCCGAGCGGGTCATCCAATTCCTATGAGTGTCGCCACTTTTGGGCTCTCGCGCTGCCAGAACGCCACTCCCAGGACACATCTGTGAGTGAATTGCGAGGAAATCTTATGCGGGAGCCCCCTCCCTATGGGGCCCGCGGATCATGTTACTAATCCGAGCGGGTCATCCAATTCCTGTAAGTGTCGCCACTTTTGGGCTCTCGCGCTGCCAGAAAGCCACTCCCAGGCCACATGTGTGGGTGAATTGCGAGGAAGTCTCAAGCGGGAACACCCTCCCTATGGGGCCCGCGGATCATTTACTAATCCGAGCGGGTCATCAGATTCTTATAACTGTCGCCACTTTTGGGCTCTCGCGCTGCCGGAAGGCCATTCCCAGGCCACATTTTGAATGCCCGGAGCCAACTGTAGGTTTCTTCGTATTCTTCGTGCTCCCAAAACACCACTCCTGGGCCATATTTTGAATGCCCGGAGCCAAATGTAAGCGATTTCGTGTTCTTCGTGTTCCCAGAACGCCACTCCCGGGCCACTTTCTGAATGTCCGGAGCCAAAACAAGAGGGCGAGGTCGGGGGCAACGTAAAGAGCGGGGGGGGGCCCGCGCCAGGGCGAGAAAAAATATACGCAGAGGAGGAGACAGCCAGGGCGCCTCACCAACCACGAGGACGACGGTGAGGGCTTTTTCCAGACTCGCCCAAAAGATTCTCATGTGGGGTCCTTCCGTCGGAGTAATTGAAGATTTCAGCGTTCCCGCTTATTTCGACTGTCAGAAGTCCAGGACAGCTGAAACAGCCTCCGAAGTGGCCCCCGGAAGGCCCAAGAAGCCCTCAAGAGGGCCCCGAAACGTCCGAAGAGGGCCACCAAACAGCCCCAAGAGGCCCCCAAGACGGCCCAAGAGTACCCCAAGACAGTCTCCGAAGGGACCAGAGAACGCAAGAGCGCGTGCAAGACGCCCACACGGGGGCCCAAGAGGCCCCCCAGAGGCCCCCAAGAGGCCTCCCATACGCCCCCGCGAGGACCCAAGAGGCCCCAAAGAGGCCTCCAAGGGGCCCCCAAGAAATTCCCAAAGGCCCGACAACGACTGGACTGTACGTGCTCCGGACGTGCACCCCGCGAAGCGAAAGGAATCCACGTCCGTAGGTGGCGTGCTGAGCGGCAGCGTTTTCTGGCGAACGCCTTCATGCAACGTATCCAATGTATCCGAAGATTGCATACATGCAACATGTTGTAATGTGTTACATCATTATGTCTCCCCCTACCCCCCCCCCAGGGGCTACGCCACATCCGTCGGCCCAAAGTGGCCACCCCCTCCCGGGGCTCAAAAACTTGCCACAACCTATAGAAAATCTATGACTTCGACCTTTTGGGCCCCTTGGGGGGCCACGAGGGCGCCAAGACGGCTCAAGATGGGCCCGAGAGGGCCCGACAAACTTTAAGGACGGCCCAACAGGGCCCTAAGAGCGCCCACAACTGCGCCTCCAGATGCCGAAACCATTGATTTCCGGATGGTTGTGGCGATATTTCAACGCTCTCGCCGCTACGGCCCAAACAGCTTCCAACATCGCCCCAGAACAACCCAAAAAGTCCCCAAAAGGGCTCCAAGACGGCCCAAGAGGGCCCCAAGACGGCCCACAGAGGCCCCCAAGACGGTCCAAGAGGCGCCGAAAACGGCCCGAGAGGACCCCAAGAGGGCCCCAAGGCGGCCGCGAGAGGCCCCCAAAACGGCCTCCGAAGGAGCGAAACGGCAGAAAAACGCCCCAAGACGGCACAGGGCGCCCCCAAGAGGCCCCCAAGGGGCCCCAAGAAACCTCCAAGAGGCCTCCAAGAAGTTTCCTAGAAGCCTCCAAAAAGGCCCCATAGAAGCCCCCCAAGGCCCACACAGCGACTGGAGTGTACTGTCATTTTTCCCCAATTGGCGAAGTGCGGCGCAGCGCCAGCCAGGTGGAAGTTGGTCACGGCGGCGCCCATGATTAGAGCTGGCGCTGGAAGGGGATGGGGAGGGAGTTTGAAAATGAGGGAAGGGGGAGAGGCCTCAAAGAAGTTCCCAAGAGGCTCAAAGAGGCTCCCAAGAGGCCCCGCGACGACGTAACCAAGACGGTACAGGATGGCCCCAAGAGTACTCCGGACGTGCACCCCGCGAAGCGAGGGGAATCGTTGGACAGATGTTCAAGGGAACACCCGTCTGTCTGCTGGAGGTGAGTCAGGCGTAAGTAGAATTGGCGGATGTGACTGTGGGAAAACTATCATTTTAGCTTCGACCTGCCTGGAATCTTAAGATTCGTCCGCGGTAAGTTGTACGCGTGGTCCATGCCACGCGCTACGCCATGGCTTTCGCGTTGGAGCCACTTTCCTCAAGGAAGGGGAGGAAGCGTGGCTGCAGCGGCGTACTCGCGGGCCGGGGCTGGTGCAACACCTCCTGAGGAACCCATGCCGACTGTCGCGAATGCTCCTCCGCTGGTGTCCGCACGACGGGGCCCTCGAGCTGAGACTGTGGGCCTGAGTTCCCACCGTCGATCACTTTGATGTCGCTATTGTTTATCATGCTGTTCTCGTTCGAATGGGTTCTATGGTATTGTCCTTTGGCTCCCGTCGCTGTGGGGGCCACGGGCACGTGCACGACCGCGGCGAAGGGCACGTCGTCGTCTCGCTCTTGCTAGTAGTAGTCGAGGTGGACGACGGACCAAGCTGCTGAAGGCCATGGTAAAGCTCTGAACGGACGTATTGGGGACGCTGCGTGGAAGGACGGTCTGGCGATGCAGGCGAGTATGTGCAGAAGGACGAAGACGATGCAGCGCCAGTATGTACCATCAGCTGGCCACGACTTAGTTATGGAAGTGCGGGGAGCGAGGTTGTTGTGCGGGGTGCGAGGCACCTCGACCCGCGATATGGATAGCCTGGGGAACACCAGAGCTGAACTGAGATGTGCTGCCTGCTGCGGTTGAGCAGGACTTTGACATTGAAGATTTCGAGGGGAATGACGGGGAGGAGGACAAGGAATATGAGTGGGACGGCGACGGCGGCGCCATCGCTGAAATCCCCGAAGTTCGGACAAACCCGGATGGGAGCGATGGCACAGGGGCCTCCCTGATGACATCACTGATATATGGAAAAAAGAATGTTGCCCAGCGTGGACCCGAAATAGGAAGTTATTACCTCATTGCATTGTGGATGTGTAAGCTCAGAGGAGCAAGCTATGTCGTGCAGTATACGTGGTGCAAGCGAACGGCGGCCAAGGGCGGCACCGTGGCGAAACCTCGACGGGCCCCACCCAGCGCACGAGGCGGCCACGAGGCGGCCACGGGCCAAGACGTGGCGAATTTTCGCTGGACCCACCCAGTGCACGAGACGGCCACGAGGCGGGGCCCCAGAGGGCCCCCAGGACCCCCAAGAGGGCCTCAGGAGGGACTGAAAAGGCCGAAAAGGGCCCCCAAGTGCAGGTCCGAGATGGCTCCATGAGCTGCCGCAGGTCTCTAAACCCTTACCGTTGTTGGCCTGCTCGCTCCACTACAAGTATGCGGATCGACCCACCTTCCCCCGACAACTGGTCTGGAAACTGTGTCTGGCTGGGCTGGCGGGGTACGCGAAGCGTGACGCATCTGACGGAGCAGAAGAAAGTCGGTGGGGATGACCACCTCTGCTATATTCGGGCCGGGCGAAAGGGGGGGACAGCAAAGGGGGGGGTTGAGAATCAGCTCACGTAGCTGATTTTACCGGCGCCTCCTGGCGCCGGAGGCGCCCATGTATCGAGGGATGGGCCCCTCGGTGGGGCCGAAACCAGCTGCATGCAGCAGAATTCGTAACCCCCCCTTTCCCAATCCCCCCCCTTCGTCCGGCCCGATGTATAGCTCCCCCGCGCGCTCGCGTGGACAGCTGATTACGCCCACAGCCCGGCGAAGGCCACGATCAGGGCCGCCAGAAAAGATGCGATCACCTTCCGCTTGTAGGGGGCCACATGCGAACCCTACCCCTACCCCCCACGATTTCTGAAGGGGAGGGTGGGGTTCACTTCGCCTCAGAAATCGTGTGGGGTAGGGGTAGGGTTCGCATGTGGCCCCCTAGCTTGCCCCACTGCCCGCCGCCCGAGATCCCCGGCATGATCATGTCGGTGACCCCGACGCAGAGCAGCGAGCCGGCTGCGAGGCAGATGAGCGCGTCCGTGGCCGGGCCCTCCAGCGCCTCCGCGAGGCCCTCCCCGAGGAAGATGCCGACCGTGCCGCTGAGAGCGAAGGTCGAGGGATCCACGCAGCCAGAACAGGCAAAGACGTTCGGAACTCCACGCGGTGTTCTCGGATCCGCGATGGGCCCCCTGGGCTCCGCGCGCCGGGGAGAAGGGTCCAGCGCCGACCCAGCTCAGTCATCCGACCTCTTGAACTCTTCAATGCAGGGTCCCCGATGTCCCGACCCGTTCCCCAGGGCCGGTGTTCCGCCCCAGGCCGTTTTTCGGTGGCCCTGGGGCCCGCGAAGAGCCCCCAGAGGCCGAACACAGCGAAAGACCTCCGTCCTGTTTTTGTTCAACACTTTGGATAGCTGGAGAGCTCCGACAGGCCACGCCCACGCCGTTTGCTCCCTCGAGAAGAGGACGTTGCCGATCCACCACCACCTGGGCTCGACCGCGGGAAGCAGCGCGCTGCCGACCGCGAAGGCGGCGAAAAACTTGTGGACCATGATCGCGCCGAGGATGACCAGCGACGCGGCCACGCCCGCGGCGATGCCCGGAGGAGGGCCGGGCCGGTCGGCGGCCCTCCCTGGCACCTCCCGGGGGCTTCTCGTCGCCACGGCCGGGTCCGCCTCGAGACAAGGGTCCGGGTGGACCCCGGGGGCGCCTGGGGATGGAGCTCGATCGGACTCGGGCCGGGCGGGAGAGTCGCCGCTGTCTCAGCTGGCCCTCCTCCAGGATGCCCTCCAGGAAGGAGTGCAGGAATATCCCAGACAGGACGCTAGGGTCGAAGGGGGGAAAACTGCATGAGCATACACGTTTGGAGCTCCGCGCGGGATTCTTGGAACCACGCTGAGCCCCCCCCCCCTCCCTGGCGCGCGCAACCCGCCCGGGGGGGGCTTCCAGCGCAGACCGCAGAAATCCGCGCGGAGCTCTGGACGAGTATGCTCAAAAGCTGGTGTTCCTTCTTCGATCCAGGCGGTGACCACCTCGCTCCTATGCACCACCTCGACCTTGTCCCTCTTCGGGCCGCCGCTGGCCTCGTCGGAGTCGGACTCGTCGTCGGACGACGCGTATTCGCCACTCGCGCACGCGCCCCCCGCGTCGGGCTCCCGGTTCACCGCGTGCGCGTGGCCGCCGAAGAACTGCTCCACGAACAGGATCAGAAAGAAGCCCGCGAACAAAAGCATGCTGAGAGGAACGGAAAACGGAATGAGCATACATTGGAGGCCTGGAAATGGGCACCAACACCAAGACAGGGGGCTGCCTCCACAGGGGGGAGATGACCCTCGACTTCGGTGTTGGTGGTAATATTTCGGTCACCTTGGAAGCCAGAATATTACCACCATCACCGAGATCGGGGTCCCCACTCCCTCGGTGGAGGAACACCGCCGATCTTGGTGTTGGTGTCAACCTCTAGGCCTGCGTAATACACTTTCGGATGCCCGTGTGGACTCCCAAGAGATCGGCGCTGGAACCCTCCCCTTGGCTTTGCCTCCAGCGCCGCCGCCAGGGATGCCCCGGCGTGAATCCAGGAGACTACGTGCGGCCCGTCGAAGGCTCACGTTTGACTACCAACTACCAGCCCGGAACATACCCCTATCCCTATGCTGGGCATCTCCTCATCACGATGCCACTCTTAGGGATTCCCTTATTTTTTGAGGGCGCATCCCTAAGATTGTCATCGCCTTTCGGCGTGTCAATCTGAGGGATAGGGATAAATTCGAGGCTGGTAAACCCACCAGACCACACCAACCCGACGCGAAACATCCCCAATCTCAGGTTGGGGGGGCGTGCGGGCCCCATCCGTGGTCTTCGGTGCTCCGGGCTTCCCCCCCCACCCTTGGGAATGGAGGGCAACTTGGGCCCTTCGGGTTGGGCTGGGGTGATCTGACGAGTAGCGGTGCCGTTGTCTGCTCCTCTCGAATGTTGCCGAGCGGCAACATCGGCGGCTCCTCGTCTCCGTGCAACCTCCTGGCCGGGTCCGCCGGGGCCGTCTCGTTGCCCGCAGGCTCCCCCTCGCCGCCGCCGGCGAAGAGGGCCCCGAGAGACAGGCTCCAGTCGTCCAGCCCCTCCGAGGCCTCGCCCAGCATGTGTCGGCGGCGATCCCAGGGGGGAAGTGAGAAGGGGCGGGCCTTCTCAGGAGGCTCGGAAGTCCCCTGGCCTCTTGAAACGTCCTCCAAGCCCCCCCCGAAATAGAGAACTTCTCAGAAGACGCGAGGGCTTCTGAGAGGTCCCGCCGCCCTCTGAGAAGGCCTTCTCCTTCTCACTTCCCCCCCTCGCTCGCCGCCGAATGTGCACCAAGGCAACCGACACGACGACGCCCCCCGCGACCGCGTTCGCCAGGTCCATCCACTTGGGCGACAAGCTGGACTTGGAGGCGGCTGGGGGATCCGTGGGACGCAGAAGGACATAATTACTCGAGCTACGCGTGTCCCGCTCGGATATTCACGTCCGACCTGGACATTTAGTACATAGTTTCCCGAGCGGTACGGCCAGAAAACGCCCACAACGGAGCTTCTACTATAAGATTTGTCGGCGCGCGCATCGCCCCTGGGAGGGGGGCGACGCACACATAGTATCAGTGTATGTTGGGGTGACGCCGAATCCAAACTGGATCAACCCAGAGAAAACGGCCAATAGGGTTCAAAATCGGTCCCGTGACCCCTCCTGTGGATCGAAACTTATGAGGTTTTCGAGCCGCGTCCAGCCGTGTCCATGAGGGGGCCCCTTTCGGAGCAAGAACCGACCGTCCTGGTATTCGTGTAGGCCTGCCTACCACCACAACCTCTGAGAAAAACACTAAGTTCGAATCACACTAACAGCGCTCGTATGATAAAAACGATGGATATATACAAGCTCGACCAAACCACTTCTCATGATAACGCGCATCAGCTGTGACAGTGCTTGACTGCGCCCATAGGCAGCTCAGGACGCTTCACCACTGCTTGACCGTTCTGCCCCCCTCTCTGCTGGCCCGGGCCAACTGCTGGGCCACCACAGCCCCCCCAGCCGGCTCCAAGGCTGGACACGAGCTTCGAGGAGAGGCCGCCCCCGAGCGACAGCAGGAACAGGAAGAGCGTGCTCAGGAACAGCACCGCCTCCATGTCGCGGGCTGGCGGACCCGCTGGGGAGGAACGCTCTCTCGGCCGGCGGCAGCGGGGGCTGCCGGGCAGAGCTCGGGTCGTGCCCTGGGCCAAAATGGCTGAGCCGAGGAGAAGGGCGGCGGCGGAGCAGCAGGCAGGTCCAGGCAGCCGACGAGGTGCCCGTCGCCGTCCGCGTGCCTCTCCTCGACCTCGGCCTCTCCGGGCCCGTCCTCGGGCCCCGGGGCCATCAAGCACGGATCGGGGACGACGACCTCACACCCCCGGGGGAGGCGGTCGGGGCCTCTCAGGCTGCCGAAGAGGCCTCCAAGACGCTCAAGATGGCCTCCAAGACGGCCCAAGAGCCCTCCAAGACGTCCTCCAAGAAGGCCCGAAAGGGTCAGAATGGCCTCCAGGCGGCCAAGATGACCTTCAAGATGCCCACGTGTTCCCCGAAGGCTTTCCAAACCGACTCGGGCAACACATGATCCGATAGCTTGGCAGGTCTGGCCTCAACGTTCGGCCGCGGCTGGTACAGCTCATATCGCAGGATGTCTGCGGGCGGCGGGGGACGGGGACAGGATGAAGGACGGGGGGCCTCGACCGTGCGATACACCCCGCCACCGACGATGGCCCCACGATATACTTGACAGGAAGGGGCTGTGGCCCGCCCACAGGTGCACCCGATTTCGAGGGTCGGGGCAGCTGCAACGGGCTTGCCCACATCTGCGGGACGCGCGCCTCTGAACGCGCCAGCGGCCCGCAGCCGGCTCACATGCGATCGGCTCGTGCCCCGCGCGCGGACCGCCCGCAGAACGGGACGCCGCACTCGCAGGCGTCCGCACCTCGACTCGAGCCAGCGCGTTGGTCCGCAACGCCCCCCTCTTGGAGCATGCCGCGGGAGCGAAAAGCTCGAAACGTCAGTGCGCGGAGGGCTCCGTTCCTAGGCTGTGCGATTCGCGGACCTATCCCGCAGCGAGATGTAAGCGCTTCCCCGAAGCTTGTCTCAAAGTGGTCCAGACTACTTCGCGACGGCACAACACGTGGACTTCAGGCAACGCGACCTCTCCGCCAACCTGACATCTCTTGCCAAATGTTACAAACTGCCACAGCCGCAGGAGGACGACGAGGAGGGACGGGAGCAGCAGCAACAATAAGTTGCCCCTGGGCACAATCTGCTGCACCCAAGGGGGCAGACCGTACAACAACGAGAGGACGGCGTAGAAGCAGGGCTGACCGCAGCGATGGCCACTCCCACTCTCTTCGGCCTGGGCTCGCGTGCGTGTCACACCTTCCTGAGGCGTCGCCGTGCACAGTGAGGGGCTCTCGGGTCTCGAGCTGAGCCCGAGCTGAACGGTGGCTGAAAGTCCGTGACTCCTGGGCGGTAAGGGGGTCGACCTCAGTCGTGTCCTGATAGATGGGCCCTGTCATCCAAAAACATTCGAGGCCAACCCCCACGAGTGAGGGCACGGCGCGCCAGGCCTTCTGAGGCCGAGCAAGCTGGTGCATCAGCATTGCACGGGCACTCCCCAAAACCTGTGCTTGGGGGTCTCGGGGTGGCCACGCTTGTACCTTTGACATTCGGGGGAGACGCTGATGCCAGCCTCGGCCTTGCCAGTCGCAAGCCAAGCGCCCCCGACAGAACTGGTCAACAGGAGTTCTGAAGGCTGCCTTCCTGTCTCGGAGATCTGCTCAAGCTGGAACAAGTACCTCCTGAGACAAGCATTTCCGATGCCTTCTTCCATGCCGCTGCCACAGAAACCTCGTGCCGCCCCCCGCCATTGCTGCAGGCGAATGATGGCACAAGAGGCATCGATCACCTCCCGAGACTGCTCAGGCGCAGACAAATCAGCATCTTGAAGAGACCAACCTCCTTCCCTGCCCTCTCCGTCGGGCGGCGGGCACCACGAAGTGGGCGAGGGGGCCTCCCAATCAGCACACAACAGACGCTCTCTGGTGTGCCCGGCCCGATGCTGTGAGGCGAGGCGCTGGAAAAAAGGCCACAGTGGCCTGCCAGACTCTGGAAATGGGCTCTCTTCCATACCAAGGGAGGAAGACGGCACGAGGAGGGGCGAGGAGGGGGAGGACGGAGGAGGCGGGAGGAGGCGGGAGGGCAGGCCGAGGGGGGAGGGAGGGAGGGAGGGAGGGAGGGAGGATGCAGGGAGCGAGGAGAGGGGACGAGAAGGGGAGGGGCCCGGACCTCCGCACCGGAAGCCCGAGGAGGGAGGCCGAGGAGGAAAGGCCGAGGAGGGAATAGGGGGAAAACAAACCTACCTCGCTTTTGACCACCCTCGCTTCCAAGAGATACCAAACGATGCCAAATTGAAGCCTGTACTGGTCAGGCTGCTTGACGAGGGGGCGCGTGGTATGGCTTGGTTTTGCCTGGAAGCGAAAGCGGGGTAGGTAATTCACGCTCTGAGGGAAGGCCGAGAAGGGAGGGAGGGAGGGAGGAAGGATGCAGGGAGCGAGGAGAGGGGACGAGAAGGGGAGGGGCCCGGACCTCCGCACCGGAGGCCCCCCCGCCCCCGGAGCAGCTCCAGATGGACACGCCGAGCAGCTCCTCCACCAGCCGCCCGCTCTGCTCGCCGACCTACCCGCGGGGCGCCACGCGACCACGCTCGCTCGGGGCGAAGCGACGTCGGCTGTCCCTCGACTCGCGCTGGAGCGTCCCCGATTTGTGGAGGTCTTTGGACCTCCCTGGAGGTCTTTGGATCTGCCTCGATGCATCTGGAGCTACGTCGGTTTACCTGGACGTCCCTCTCTGTGTCTGGCCTGCTCTCCGCAACTCAGGTGGAGAGAAGTCGCTCAGACCCTGGGAGCACGAGGAACGGCCACGCGTCCGGCACGCCTCGCGAAGCGGGGAGCAACCCCAGCCATGCCCGCGTCGCGAAACAAGACACTCGGGTCAGGCGAAAGGGGGGGATAGCAAAGGGGGGGGTGAGAATCAGCTCACTCGTAGCTGACTTTCCCGGCGCCTCCCGGCGCCGGAGGCGGCCATGCATCGAAGAGCGGGCCCCGCGGTGGGGCCGAGACCAGCTACGTGCAGCAGACCTCGTACCCCCCCTTGCCCAACCCCCCCCCCCTCTCGCCCGACCCGAGACACCACGGCGGCAATCTCGCGCAGAGCTTCGTGCGCTCGCCCCAGGCCCCCGGGGCCCTCGCCGCGGCTCGGGCCCCGGGGCGCGGAGCCCTCGCGAGGCACCCGCCGGAGGCGCCGCCGGGGCGCCAGGGACCGCCGAGGGACCTCTCGCTCGGGGAGGCCTGCTGGGACTGGCCGGGGCTGCCTGTCGGGTCGGGCGAAAGGGGGGGACAGCAAAGGGGGCCTGGAGAATCAGCTCACATTCGCTGATTTTCCCGGCGCCTCCCGGCGCCGGAGGCGGCCATGTATCGAGGAATGGGACCCTCGGCGGGGCCGAGACCAGCTGCATGCAGCACATTTCGTACCCCCCCCTTTCCCAATCCCCCCCTTTCGTCCGGCCCGATCCTAGGGCGCCTGCTGAGGCCAGCTGGGTCCACGCGGGGGGGCCATCTGAGCGCAGCCCGAAGCCTTACTTACTCTTTTTTTTTATTCGGTCGCGACGTTGCCCCGCGCAGAGGTCGATCGCGGTGGGAGTCGAGGGTGAGCGGCACCTGAATATTCGGATAGGTGGGTGGGGAGTCGGGGGAGGGGTGGTCGGGGGAAGGTATACTGAGGTACTTAGTCTGACCGCGTGCTACACGTGGCCAGCGCCCTACTCATTTCAGCTCCACTTCGCCGAAGCTCTGTCTATTACTGTCGCCGCGGCGCCTGCCAGGTATTTTTTCTACTTCTTCGTCAAGTCGGTGCAACAGCCCTGAGGCTACTGCCGGTCTGGCGCAGAAGGCAGAAAGAGAAGCAGGAGAGAGGCGGGAGCGGCAGTAGGGGGGACCAGCAGCAGCAGCAGCAGCAGTAGCAGCAGCAGCAGAGGGACAATACTCGTGTCCTGCCAGGCCTACCAGAGCGGAGCAGTCGCCTCGCTCCAAGCGGCAAGGACGGCATGGGAACATGCTCGCTGGGGCCAGCTCCGAGGAGGAGCAGGTGCGGAACCCGATGCGCGGGCGCGCCGGAGGCGATGCTTGGCACGCATATTCGGAAGACGGGGAGGTATGGCACGGAGAGCCCCCCGTGGTCGCTCACTGATGATGATGATGATGATGATGATGATGATGATGATGATGATGATGATGATGATCCAAGATGATGATGACGATGACGGACGTATGGCACGGAGCCCCCGTGGTCGCTCACTTACCCTTCTTGGCGAGAAGGGGTGCCTTGAAGCGCTGTGCGGCCACCGCGACCTTCACCGTCGTACGCATCGTCTTCGCAGCCTTGCCGAGCACGGCCGGCGCCCCGGGCGCGACGAGGTCGCCCTGCTGGCGGATGAGGTCGGCCTGGAGCTCTTCCCGCGTCTCCTCGGTGTCTGGCAGCGGTCTCGGGAGCCACTTGAGGGCAGCCGTGGTGGAATCCAGAAGCATGATGACGTTGAACAGGGACATGAGGCCGCCGGCAACACAGCCGCCGACGAGGAAATGCGTGTCGCCCTGCGCGCGGAAGTACGAGAGGGCGTAGTAGAGCTGCGGGAACCAGACGAGGCACCTGGTGTACCAGATGGTCACGAACTGCACCAGCACGATCGCCTTGTACTGCAGGAACTCGCGCTTGCTCTTCACGTCGAGGGTAAACTTGTACTGGCCAGACAGGAAGCAGATGCCCGCTGCCAGGAGCAGCGAACATGCAATCTTGTGATACTCGGGCATATAGCTGTATTTCATGTTCATGGGGATCACAAGCAGCATGGCCAGCGGATGGTGCAGGAGGCACATGATGATAAAGAACGGCAGCGGGCACGTACCCCAGCTCTTGAACGTGCTCGGGAAGAACGTGAGCAAGAACTTCTTGATCGTGTCGTAGACGTCAAAAGATACGTCACCGAGAGCTGCCATCAGGAAGAGCAGCTGCCCAGTCGGGCCTGCCCCTGACCACCCACGGACGACGACGGGAACCATTGCCATGCCCATCAGGAAGTGATGCCCGCAAATAAGGAGAACGAATGAGAAGCTCTCCAGCATCATCTCTGGAGTGCAGGTATCTTCTGCGAACCCGAAATTCATCATTAATCCTTTCTGCAGAGGCTGTGCACTTGGCCACCACGGCATCTTCTCGACAACCTTCATCACGCGAATGTTGATGAGCTCGCAGACTGCCCCCGTCACCGCTGCCAGCGACAGCACAACCACCAGGCAGCCGCCCAACGTGCCGATGTAGTTACGGAGATCTGTCGCGAAATCCATGCTGCAAGGTCGCGGTGAGCGGTGGAAGCTTGCGACAGCAACAACAAATTGTTTGGAATGTACTTGCTAAAACCCGAAAAAGCTCGAGATGATGCCTTGAGCCAAAATGGCTACGGACCGAAGCCTTACTTACTCTTGGTATGCCTTGGTCTGGGCCCTCATTTCACTATCCTCCCATGGCAGCGTGGCCTTTAAGTATGCCTCGGCTGGGGTTCTCACTCCACAATCCTCCCGTGGCAGCCCCAAAACCGCAACAGCAAGGGCGGCACTGGAGCCGCAGCCCCAGCCTAGACATACCTCCAAAAGGCCCGACGAGGGCCACAAGACAGTTCTAAGGGCTCCCGGAATCCCCTCAGGACCCCCCCGCAAGAGACCCACATCCTTCAAAAGCAACAAAAACACTGATTGCTGCCTTTTCGCATTTTCGCTTCGAATGCGCTGTTGAGGCCTCGAGATTGTTTCATACTTGCCCAGGAGAGCCTCAAGAGGCCAACAAAACGGTTCCAAGAGCGCCCAGGAACGGCCCAAGAGCGCCCCAAGAAGGCCACAAGCGGCGAGTTTGATGGTCCCGGGAGGAAGGCAAATCGAAGACCGGTCCCAGGGGGGTAAGGCAAATCGAAGCCCCCACCCTCTCTTGACCGATGGCCTCAAGAGTGGCCTCAAGAGGCCCTCAAGGGCTCCCCCAACGGACTTCAAGAGGGCCCCAAGAAGGCCTCAAGAGGGCCCCAAGGCGACCCCAAGATCCCCCCAAAGATTCCCAGGAGGGCTCCAAGAAGCGATTTGGAGGGCTCTGAGCTCGTCCTCGCTGTCCTCGTCATTGTCATCGTCGTCTTCCTTTTCCTTGTCCTTTTTCTCTTCCTCGTCGTCGTGGTCGTCGTCGTCTTCCTCCTTCTCCTTCTCCTCCTCATACTCCTCCTCCTTCTCCTCACCCTACCTCCCTCGCCCGCACGCGGGCCCTAGGGACGGCCCGAAAAGGCCATCCCAAGGTCATCCCCTTGCTCACAGAGATCTCTCTGTTCAACCAGGTTGCCCCCCTATTTCACTATATGGGCCTCTTCGTCTCTTTTTCCCGTCAGATCTCGTGGACAAAGTTTCTGAAGGGGCTGTTGGGGATACTTTTTGGTCAACGGCCTCGTGAAGCGGGTCAAAAGGCGTCCAAACTCAAGCTGGGCCACGACTAGGCAGCGGAAAGCGGAAAACTGGAAAAGCAAGACATGTGCAGCAAACGGGCGGAAGCTCAGAAGGGCGAAAAGAACCTGTAGACCCATTCCTGGTGGCGTCAGAAAAATCCCGGTGGGTACCAGCGAGTAGACGCAGCCATAATGGCGCGGCGGCGAGACCAAAACGTAGAGGTCGATCACTCGGTGAAGAATGTGTTTCAATGATTTGCTGTCCGTTCCGTGGGAGCTTACGTGGTCCCCCCGCGCTGTCCTATTTTGGACTTGGTTTGGAGCACATGGGGGATCGGATTTGGACCGGGTTCGCCACTTCGCAAGGGAGACGATAATCATGTGGGAAGAAGGAACAGGAAGAGCGAGGAGGAGCATGAGGAAATAATGCCAAATGCGATCCACATGCAGACCCGATTTAAAAAAAACAAATGACTTCAATGTCGAAATTCAGTCAAATCGCCCATGCCATGAACGGATATCCAAATCATGATTTAGGACTCGAGACTGGGTACGTTTTCGTTGGCCCCGTGGGCCGTGCTGGGGGCAATTTGGGGCCATCTTGGCGCGCCCCGGGGCCCGGTGCAAGCCCTCACGGAAAGAAGTCGACAATGTGTACTCAGGCGTGGGCGTGCGGAACGTCGCTGGGCTTCTTTGGCTACTCCTGGGTCGGCTTGGAAGCGAACCCGGCGGTCTTGCAATGTGTGAATGCCTCTTGGTGCTCTTCGAAGTCGTCGGGCTGTATGGGAGGCTGTTACGGCCGTCTTGGGGGCCTGTGGGCCGACTCGGGGCGATTTGTTGGCAGTCGTGGGATTATTGAAGGCACGTCGGGCCGTTCTGGACCGACTTTGGGGGCATCCTGGGCTGCTTTGCCACGTTGGAAGCTGAGGCGGGACTGCTGACATCCTTGCAAGGAACAAGCGGGGATTGATGGTTTTTGCTTCAAGGGTTCCACTTGGGGGTCGACTTGGGTTTTTTGGGGGGGGGCCTGGTGGCGTCTTGCGGGCCTCATGGGAGCCGTTCAAGGCTTCTACGGGTTTCTGGGTATGCCTCGGCAGGCCTCTTGTGGCCATCCTGGGGGGGGAGGTTCAACATATCCTTTCGGGCC